CACGTTTTCTAAACGGACAAAAAAGAAGAACATTTATTCGCACATAACATTAAAGTTATGTGAAATGTTATGTAATGTTATGTAAGAGTAAATGTTTTTCTTTTTTGTCCGTTAAGAAAACGTGGCTTTTAAAAGTTTTTTATTTGTTTTATTTCATAATTTTTAGTTATGTAAAAACCAGAAAAACGTGGTTTTTACAAATGTTTTTATATATATATATTTATTTTCTACTTATTAGTTTAGCAATTTTAGCAATTCAAATCAATTTCTAGGGTTGGCAAATCTGGATGTTAAACAAAAATCTCGATTCCCAACCGTGAAATTTTTTTTTTCACTTCTTTTATAAAAAAATTTTAAATTATTACTTCTGATGATCAAATCTTGAATNAATCGATTGATACGTGTCTCGATGTTGTAGGATGATATTTGTGGGAGGAGATAGATTTTCTAAAGTACCCCTTTTTAGCCGTTTTCTATGAATTTAACGTTTTCTGTCAATTTATTTCGAAAAATTCATACGAGCAAAATGTTTTTCTTTTTACATTTTACGTATGTATGTGAAGTTTCATGACAATCGGATGATAACTGTAGAAGTTTTCCGTAGGGGTAGCCGATCCCCTTAACCGATTCGACACTTCAGCGAACTCGCGTGCGAACTGGCCTGCGAACTCGAATGCAAAACCTAACTTCATTTCAACTGTGGCACTCATAACTCCTTCAATTATGAATGGATTTTATTCAAATTTGAAAGATAAGTAGATAATATCAGTATTTTGCGGGGGGAATTTTTTCAGATTTTTACATCCTTAACTTTTTTGTTAATACGGAAAACCTAACTTCATTTTCAACTGTGGCACTCATAACTCCTTCAATTATGAACGGATTTTATTTTCGGTTAGGTATTGTCAATGCTGTGTCTGGAATTTCAAGCAGTTCCGTTTAGTATAGAAGGAGTTATGAGTAGCACGGTTGCCTGAAATTGGTGTTTTTTCGTTTTAATTGCTAACGAAGTAATGGAAAATTCTTTAATTACTTCAGACACAGCGCATTGACAATACCTACATATTTCAAACACATCCGGTCAGTATTGAAGGAGATATGAGTGGCTCGGTTGAACGAAAAGTTGGGTTATGTTTTTGAGTCCGCTGGCACGTTCACAACTTCACAGTCGAGTTCGGGAGAAGTGTCGATTCGGTCCTACCGACATGTTGCTTACTGCTTAGGCATTAAAAGTGATTCATTTCTCATTACTCTGAAGTGGTGAAGTTCCAAAGTTGGGGCAAATTGACTAAAGACCTCATAACAACAGAATTTCGTGAGTTCGTGTACTGTATTATGTACGTAAATTAATTCCGTTCGTTTCTTTCGACTCGATGAGTGTGGCTTCTGGTATGCACGCTGCCATTTTTACTCAGAAAATTCGCATTTCAATTATACAAGGACGATAATAGCGTTATGTTTATTGGGAACCTATTATACATGATTTATTAAGTGGATCCGATCATATGAGTGTTCTAACTAAAAGATAATCCTTCAAAGTTCAACTAGAAGCTCGAGCCAAAAAAAGGGAAGATTTCGGAAAAAATGTTACCCTGCTGATATTTCGAACTCGAACACTGCCAGTCGGCAATCAACCGCCATTTGCTTTCGAGCTTGTGGTTGTGTAAAACTTTTTCCAGACACCGCCTGAGACACGTGACGACTTGTTCCAAGACGTTGATGATTTTTACAGGGCAGCCGCCGGAGTTTAAGAAAATGAAAAATTAAGTAGGTAGGTACAGTGTCTGGTACACACCATTAGGCTTTAGTTTTGACTTTTAACTTTAGAAAATGGATTAAATTGAATAAACTGATGGCAAGTTGCCAAATAATGGACTATAAAATATAAAGTTTGTGAAAATTGTTGCCATATGAAAATATATTTCATTTGTTGTAGGGCTACAAGCCTACAACATGAACATATCACTCTTTGACTCTTACACTCTACACTCTACAGAGTAGGACAGCCTACTAATACACTTACAGACTCACAGTCAATATGACTATTATATTATAGTAATTATACGAGATCATTAAGTGATTGAGATGTGAAAGTAAAGTATGTAGTTGATACTGTGAGAGTGCAATTGGCAATTTGGCAGACTGACTGAGACTAGGTAATACATCATCTATTCAAATTCAATTTTACTTGAACAAATCACAATTGAATGTGTGGGCTCTTTTGCAGCACTTGCATGGAAATTGGAATGAAAGCCAGGTTGGGATCATAGTTGCAAAAGCCAGGAATATGGATGATTGATGAAGCCATTAGCCAATAGCCATGAAGTGAAGGGAGGCCACAAGAGCAAAGCATGAAACAGTTCAAACTAGGATTTTTCCAATCTTGCTCAATACTAGACTAACTAGAGTAGACTTGACTTCTTTTTGTTTGATCTCTTCTTAACCTAGAATGTAAAATCAATCATAACAGAGCCTCAAAAGCCTTTCGAAGTTCACAAGTAAGCCAGGTCTTTGCATGTGCCATGTGGAAATATGAAATTATCCACCTTTTGAAAATTCTGTATTTTTCACAATAAAAAAATTTAGGTAGTTTTGCAATGCACAATTTTTATAAAATCTACCTGACAGACTGATTGTTAATGTCAAGATTGGTTTTCAATTTATTATATATTCATTATCTTTAATATGAATTGTTTAATATTCTTCACACAAGTAAGACAGTAGGTAAGTTTGTATCTTGTATGGATTCTGGTCAATATTTGTTGGTAGCTATTAAATTTTTCATAATTTCATATTATCAAATAAAATGGCTTTTGTCTTCAAATTTTCAGTTTAAGCCTTTCACTTCTAAGCTACCTATTTATATATAAGCCTAAATGGCCAGGCAGTATTGCCAGTATACATGTGATGTGTGAATAATTTTCCCTTGCCAACTGCCTAGTGCGGTAGTGCCAATGCCCCATGCCATGGCCCATCACCTGATTCTTAATGGAAAACATCTACTGTCATTGCATGAAATTTTTCTAAAATCATCTGAAATTTAAGATTTCTGTCAGTGTCAGACTGTCAGGTGCCTTGTGTTTAAGTTTATTGATTATTAAAAGTAGAAGATTGAACTGAGGATATCAGTGAACATTTTGACTTCTTTCAAGCAGGCCTTATTGAGTGGAATTCTCTAAATCCTGCTGGGCCATTAGCTTGATACAAAATATCAGAGATAGTAGTAAGGTCCAATATGAATATATTAGATCTTCTGATCCAATATGATACATGTATGATATACCTGTTAGTGCATATTTATAGTACCCCTCTCCAATTCCTCACTTGGTCTTGTATAATTTTACCAAGCCATTAAAGCCAAAGCAGCAAAGATTTAGTACCTAGTAATTAAAAAAAAAACTAATTGGAATGCTCTATTTGTGTTTTGTATTGAACCAATCTTAATATTTTAGTTCATGAATTCAATGTGTTATGACACATGAGCTATCACCATGCTGAATTTTCTGCTCTAGACAATATTGAACACTTCCTATAAACAGTATTGCGCAATAATTTTCTGGTAAAAATTCAAAATGTATATAATTATGAGAAGAAACATGAGTTGTATTGATGGTAGAGAAGGAGGATGAGTATGGCACGTTGAGTTACTCAAGGAGGTTACTTGCTGATTTCAAATATTTGATTTGACAGTTTAGATTTCTGTACTTACTCCAAATATGAATTATTAAAAAAAGTAGAATATTTTGCTTACGTATATTTTTAAAGACACATGAGAATGATACAGTGAGATGCGACTCTAAAGTCTGAAGTGGCTGAAAAGTAATCAGGGTCAAGAAAAGTTTACTAAATCAAAGTGTCACTAATTTAAAGAAAATTATCTATATTTGCCATGCATGGAAGAAGAAGAAGAAATTATCTATATTTACCATGCATTATTATTCATTGAATTTCTCACTTTGAAGCCCATTGACAGAAAAATGTAAAGCCAAGAAAAATTAACCTTCCAAATGGGAACCATGAAATGGACATTTGTGGTCCAAGTTTAGAGTTTGCCAGCATTAGGTTCACTTCACTGTTTTAGATCCTTGTTGTTCACAGATTCTAGGTAGTATTGAGACACCTCTTACAGGTGGGCCAAATTATGTACTTGAATTTTATAATTGATCATCATTTAGATTAATTGAAACATGAATGAAAAGCAATAAATTGCAATTCTCAGCAGTAAGATTCTAAATGATGAAAAACATCATTTTTGTATCACGCCAAGAACCCAGTAAAATGTATTTCAAAGAAAGACTAAACAGAAGCCACCACAACTAACAGCTGTAAAAGAACAGACCAGATAAAGCTATAGAAAAATATATGTTCAGATTTGAAATGCCTAGCACCATATCAAACCCAGTGGAATTCTAGTAGTTACTTGAAACTATCATCAGTCATGAAAAGATCCGGTCAAATGACACGATTTTAGATCTTCTGTGAACAAGGCACGAAAAGGAAAAGAATTGGTGACAGGCCACATCAGGGGCCATACTTTCAAAACTCGCTAAGTGAACGTAAGTACTTACGCTCTATTATCTTGTCTATGATTGGTGGATTTTGCTTGCGTGGCCGTCAATGATTGGCTGATGGACTTACGATCTTTTAACTTTTTTTGAAAGTATGGGCCCAGGCCTACACTTAAGCGCTGAGATCAATATGTAAGCTGCAGATCAATTCTGCTGGGACTCATATTCTAGCTTACAAAGAGCTGGTAAGAAGCTTCATATAAATGTATAATCACAATTAATCCAAGGAGAACATGAATTTTTTTGTGATTTGTTACAAGGGATTAACAGTTCATAGTTGTATTCTAGGGCAGGTCAAACAAATTGAAAGCATCAAGCATGTACACTAATTTATTTGTGATGAATAATTTTTAAGGATATTGGAAAGTTTGAGATACTTCAGGTATAGACTTGCACTTCATTTCTGCATCATTTTTAACATTTCAGATTGTTTCAAGCATTTCAGCCTTATTTCATCTATTCAAGTTGTCTGAGTAGGCAGGCTTATTAAACAGTCATGTCAAATAATCCAGGTGATAACAAGCCTCCTCCCTCAAGCCGAGGAAGAGGCTTAGCGTTACTGCTAGCCGTTAAGCAGCATCAACAGTTGTCTGATCAAGCATCTCAGCATCCTAGGACCCCTGATCATGACTCAGAACCTCGAGTAGCAGTGCCTCAAGCCAGTGAGCTACCAGCAACTGAGCCAGATAGAGAGGCAGATCCTTTTGGTCCTGCAACCTCGCAACCACCTCAGTTACCACATCAACCACCTCAGTTACCCAGCACTGGGCCGAGGGGACAACTTCCACATGTTAGAAGTTCTACTCCTCCTTCCATTGGGACTCGTGGAGCTCGTTTGATTGGTCCAAGACCTGGTAGCCCTGCATTTCCAAGAAGCCTTGCTGGTTCTGCCACTAATGTTTTTCAGGTGAGCATTTATTCATTAAAATCATGATTTAATTCTCCTAATCCATGTAGAAAATTAGTTGCTTCTAATACTTCTTGGAGTTCTTGTATTTATTCATTATCCTGTAGAATTGTAGGTTATGTGCTCATAAGTAATGCCTTGCATGTTCTTTTTATAGTGGTATAGGTATTTAACATGGCTAAACAAGTTAAAGAATATTTACATTAATTCTTCTTGAGCATTGCTTCTCTATATATAAATATAGTATGAATGAGAAACTTGTTTATCCGATTATGCAATAAGCAATGGTTGCCAGGTTGTTATGTTTATATATATATACCTATTAAAAATAACATCCTGTTTCTTATGTTTACAGTGGAAAAAATTATGTCTGCATATTTGTGTTGATGTGTGCAAATCTGTGTTACCTTGTTAATGTGTACCTCAAGGATCAATGTTGAACTTTTAAATGGGGCTCAGCAAAAGGGTATCAGATTTTTGTGATACATCTAAATTTTATTTTGATTGTCAGAGCTCATAAATTTATCCCTATTATTTTCTAAGTTGCAAGATTATTTTTTCATCAGGCGACAGGCGTTACTGCATCAAACCACACTCAGAAATAAAATTTTGTATCTATTTCCTGTAGTTTTTTCCTAAACATTTTGTTCAAGCAAACTGTTATGCTTGTATGAAATCTTTTATTGATTACAAAAATATATTTAAAAGGTACCATAGAAGATACAAAGCTCTAATGAAATATGGATATGATTAGGAAAATCAATAATATTTGACTGAATTATAACAACAAAGTATTTGCTAGCAACCTATTATTATATATTATGCCTGTTACTATTTATTATACCTGTTATGTATATTATATATTTTTATCTGTTATTATATAAAAATGTCAAATATTTGACTGAGGCTTAACATTGAAGTGTTTGCTAGCCAACCTGTCATTATTTATTATGTCTGTTGTATTTATCATACCTATTATATTTATCATACATTCATATCTGTTATTGTATAAGAACATCAAATCTTTGACTGAGGTATAACATTGAAGCGTTTGCTAGCCAACCTGTCATTATTTATTATGTCGGTTGTATTAATCATACCTGTTATATTTATAATATATTCACATCTGTTATTGTATAAGAACATCAAATCTTTGACTTGGGTATAACATTGAAGTGTTTGCTAGCCAACCTGTCTTTGTTTATCATACCTGTAATATAGGCATAACATTGAAGTGTTTGCTAGCCAACCTGTCTTTATTTATTATGCCTGTTGAATTTATAATATATTCATATCTGTTATTATATGAAGAATATCAAATCTTTGACTGAGGCATAACATTGAAGTGTTTGCTAGCCAACCTGTCTTTATTTATCATGGTACCTTTAATATTTATAATATATTCATATCTGTTATTATATGTAGAATATCAAATCTTTAACTGAGGCATAACATTGAAGTGTTTGCTAGCCTAGCGCAAGGGCCTTGCCTGTCACCTCCTCCATGGGGTCGGGGCTCAGTGGCAGCTCCAGTGGCCGAGCCAGCAGCCTTGCCACCTTGAGCCTGTCTATGCCCTCCAGGTATTCTGCTTTTACTTTAGAATTTGATAGAAAAATAATTTTGTAATTGCAAGGAAAAAATGAACTATTTCATGACATTATATTCATATTATTTTTTATTATATCATAGAACTGCCATTGCCTTGAATTATATACTTGGTCTTAAAGACAATGCGTTAGCTAAAATTAATGCACTCTGTAATTTTCTCTGTTTGTTGTAACTTTTTAGTCTTGGTAAAGTAGACTTGTATGTTAATTCCTGTACACCAAGGCTTAATATTTATTATCCCTGTACACAAGGCTTAATATTTATTATCCCTGTACACAAGGCTTAATATTTATTATCCCTGTACACAAGGCTTAATATTTATTATCCCTGTACACAAGGCTTAATATTTATTATCCCTGTACACAAGGCTTAATATTTATTATCCCTGTACACAAGGCTTAATATTTATTATCCCTGTACACAAGGCTTAATATTTATTATCCCTGTACACAAGGCTTAATATTTATTATCCCTGTACACAAGGCTTAATATTTATTATCCCTGTACACAAGGCTTAATATTTATTATCCCTGTACACAAGGCTTAATATTTATTATCCCTGTACACAAGGCTTAATATTTATTATCCCTGTACACAAGGCTTAATATTTATTATCCCTGTACACAAGGCTTAATATTTATTATCCCTGTACACAAGGCTTAATATTTATTATCCCTGTACACAAGGCTTAATATTTATTATCCCTGTACACAAGGCTTAATATTTATTANTTTCTTACCCACGAGGTAGGTATAAAAATGCGGGTTCATTTTGTTGTCTAAATAGTGAGACCATTTCTTACCCACGAGGTAGGTATAAAAATGCGGGTTCATTTTGTTGTCTAAATAGTGAGACCATTTCTTACCCACGAGGTAGGTATAAAAATGCGTGTTCATTTTGTTGTCTAAATAGCTGTCTCTTATACACATCTAGATGTGTATAAGAGACAGACTTTATAATATACATATGACTTGCTCATAGTGTTGATATTGATTAATGTTATTGTGTTGTCCAATGATGTTGGAAGTATCTTTGTGAATGAAATTTCACTTCTGGCAATTTGGGTGTGTTTTGTCTTGATCTTCTTCTTTCATTATTTGCAAATAGGTTTGCTGTTAAGGTTTGCTGTTTTAACCTTTGCACTTAACCTCGGTAGTTAATGGCAATGAATTCATTATGTCACCAGGAAGGAAACAGTTAAATTATTTTATTTATTACTTGATAAGAGTGAATACTTTCTAATTAAGCCCTGGAATTTGGCAACTTATGGTAATTTATATTGAGTTTGTTTACAGGCAGCTATGCAAGTATAGGATTGAAATGTGTTATTAAGCAATGTTAATTTATTTAAGATTGTTTACAAGCATCTCGGCAAGCATATGATTTAAATGTGTTATTAAGCTATGTTAATTTATTTGAAGGTTTGGTTACAGGCATCTCAGCAAACATAGGATTGATATGTGTTATTAAGCAATGCTAATTTATTGAAGGTTTGTTTTCAGGCAGCTCAGCAAACATAGGATTGAAATGTGTTATTAAGCAATGTTAATTTATTGAAGGTTTGTTTACAGGCATCTCGGCAAGCATAGGATTTAAATGTCTTATTAAGCAATGGTATTATCTGAAGGTTTATTTACAGGCATCTCAGCAAACATAGGATCGAAATATGTTATCAAGCAATGTTAATTATTTGAAGGTTTATTCACAGGCAGCTCTGTAGGCCGCGCCTCTGCCATACTCCAGTTACTGGGCAGCGTCGGCCCTCCACAGGTGCAGCAGGCTGGTGCCACCTCCTCTGAGTCACTCAAAGTGGCCGCTCATAAGACCAGGTACAGTTATTGTGCTATCTGTTATAGTTTTGTTATATTTCTGTTAAAGTTCTGTTATAGGTCTGTTATAGGTCTGTTATAGTTCTGTTACAGTTCTGTTATAGTTTTGTTATAGTTTTGTAATAGTTCTGTTATTGTGCTGTTATAGTTCTGTTATAGTTTTGTAATAGTTCTGTTATTGTGCTGTTATAGTTCTGTTATAGTTTTGTAATAGTTCTGTTATTGTGCTGTTATAGTTCTGTTAGAGTTCTGTTTTAGTTCTGTGGATGTACTATCAAGTTATTAGTTTGTAACTCCGTCAGCTAATCACTGACGGCTTTTTAAGCCAAAGCTACCAATCATAGATGAGAATTGGGCCGCTACATATAGGTACTTGAAGTTTTGATAGGTATAAATATGAATATGTTATAACTATGACTTCATAGTTCTGTTGTGTTTTGGTTGTTATTATAGTTCTTTTACACTAGTTCTACTAGATTATTTTTTGCTATATTATAGTTCTGTTATAGATTTATCTCACCAATTTGAGTGGAGTCTTGCAAGAGTTGACCTTTCTTTTGCTTCATGCGAATTTAATTTCTGTTATAAGTTTCATCATAAAATCTTGTTAATTTATACATTTCTATGGTTATTTCAATACGGTTTACCAGAAATACATATTCCTGTTATCAGTTCACCCATGCATTCCTAATTTAGTTATGTAAATGTGAAACAAAAGTTCGAAGTTCAGCTTCATTTGGACTAACTTGACATGGCTGTTAACGGTATTTCTTAGCCCGAAGTTCCCCCCAGGATTTGTATCAATATGTTAAAAAATATATATATGTTGCTTGTAAAGGCCCTGCTACACGGAGAAAGAATGTCATTGGCAGTGATCCATTGCAGTGACAATTGAGGCCAATTGGTAGCTCTTCATATTCTAGTAAACTTTTGTTAGAATAATTACTTAAGAATTAATCTTAGCATTATTTAAATAGTTAACATGTAACAGCATTTTTTTTATGTCCACATTAAATTATCGTATTATTTTCCCACGTTAAATAAACTCTAATTTAAAAATTACCTATGAATTATTGTTAACCTTATGCAAATGGATTACAACGTTTGGATTTTAAATCCACATCAAATTATCATATTCATTTGCTATTTCTACATGAAGTAATCATATTTATTTGTTATCTCCACCTTAAGTTATCGTATTCATTTGTTATCTCCATATTAATTTATCGTATTCATTTGTTATCTCCACGTTAAGTTATCGTATTCATTTGTTATCTCCACGTTAAGTTATCGTATTTATTTGTTATTTCCACATTAAAATATCGTATAAATATGTTATTTTCACATTAAATTATCGTATTAATGTTATTTAAACATTAAATCATCGTATTAATATGTTATTTTCACATTATATTATCATACCTGCATGTTATTTAAACATTAAATTATCGTTTTAATATGTTATTTTCCTATTAAATTATCGTATCTATATGCTATTTAAACGCTAAATTATCATATTAATATGTTATTTAAAAATTAAATTATCATATTAATGTTATTTTCACAAATTGGTTCAGGATGACTTAGCAAAAAGTACATCGCTATTTGGACAGTGTCTCATTAATTTCTCTGAGTGATAATTATCATTATCCATGTGCAGTTTTTACTTAGTATTCACTTATAATTTAATCAGGTTCGTGTATCGTATACAAACAGATTTGTACTCACACTCGTGTGTAGGCGTCATTAAAGGTGCAGGAGGTATTAACCTGGTATTAAATTAACCTGGTATTAAATTTTTTTCACAATTCTCCTAGAAATTTGAAAAATTATTTTTATTGATGAATATCTGAATGTTTGTATTTATTGATTACATTTGTTAATGCCTTGAAGTTTAAAGTAGTCCAGCCCCTCGCTCCTTGTCCTTGTCTGTCTCTTTGAAACATTTTCAGTGTTCATCAGACTAAAGGTCTTATGTTACCTTAGGGATTCGCAGTCTAAAATCTAATTTCATTGATCACATGAAGCTGATGGCAATATCATCAATTTTCTGATGCTGAGGGCTCAATTTTCTGATGCTGAGGGCTCAATTTTCTGATGCTGAGGGCTCAATTTTCTGATGCTGAGGGCTCAATTTTCTGATACTTAGGGCTCTATTTTAATGAATTGTTTGTATTCAGATTCAACGCGACCTGTAACTGGCTGCGGTTGCACCTTGACCCGAAGAAAGCGGTCTACGAGTACGCCGTCTTCTTTGAACCTGCAATAGACGCTCGCAACCTGCGCTTCAAGATACTGTCCAACCTCAAGGATAAGATCGGCAACACCAAGAGCTTTGATGGAGCTAAGCTCTGGCTGCCTGAAAGGCTTAAAAATGATGTAATCATCACGTGTTTGGGTTATATGTTGATGAACTATTGGATTATCAATATGGAGACTCTGGCTGCCTGAAAGGCTTAAAAATGATGTAATCATTACGTGTTTGGGTTATATGTTAATGAAATATTGGATCATCAATATGGAGACTCTGGCTGCCTGAAAGGCTCAGAAATTATGTAATAATTACGTGTTTGCGTTATATGTTGATGAACTATTGGATCGTCAATATGGAGACTCTGGCTGCCTGAAAGGCTTAAAAATGATGTAACAATTACGTGTTTGGGTTATATGTTGTTGAACTATTGATGTTTATAATATATGTGGTTGAAATATAATCATCAATATGGAGACAAAAGTGCTCGCAAGGTTTTGACGTGCTTTTGATGACACTTAATGATTACAACATTTGATGTAATCATTACGTGTTTGGGTTACCCTATATGTTGTTGAACTATTGGATCATGATCAATACGGAGACTAGAAGTGCTCGCTAGGTAAATTTTGACGTGCTTTTGATGTCACGTCATGTATAACGCAACCATCTTGAGTCTTACCCTCGCTAGTCCCTTACTACTTCCTCACTAATCTCGTACAAGTTCTTCACAAGTCTTACTAGTTCCTTTGAAATTATTTTTGATGAAGGAGTTCTCTGTTCATGTTTTCAACTGTCATGGCCTCGATGAGTTCTAGTTACCTATCATAATTTCAATATTTAACATTTTTTTCGAAGCAGTTTTAAATTCTTTTTTTTTTCTTTTGAGATATAAGAAATGTTCATTGTTACGCTCCCTTGTTCTCATTTCTTGTTGGTAGATACCTTGCGTCATCTGCTTGCCTTGTTTTGCTCACTTGTACCATTTCTAACACTTGTTCATGTCCTCTTGTACTCTCTTGTGCCCCTTCTTGTAGCCCTTTTGTACTCTCTTGTACCCCCTCTTGTACCCTTCTTGTAGCCCTCTTGTACCTCTCTTGTACCCTTCTTGTACCCCCTCTTGTACCCCTCTTGTACTCTCTTGTACCCCTCTTTTACCCCCTCTTGTACCCTTCTTGTGCCTCCTGTACCCTTCTTGTGCCTCCTGTACCCTTCTTGTGCCTCCTGTACCCTTCTTGTAGCCCTCTTGTACCCCTCTTGTACTTCTCTTGTACCGCTCTTTTACCCCTCTTGTACTCTCTCTTGTACCTTCTTGTACTCTCTCTTGTACCCCTCTTGTACTCTCTTGTACCCCCTCTTGTACTCTCTTGTACTTCTCTTGTACTCCCTCTTTTACTCCCTCTTGTACCTCTCTTGCACCCATATTGTACCCCCTGTTGTACCACCTGTACACGTGTGCAGCGTACGGAGCTGTCCACGGTGCAGCCCGTGACGGGCGAAGAGGTGCGGGTTCGTCTGGACCTGAAGCAGCGCACGTCGCTGGCGGACTGCGTGCAGCTCTACAACGTCCTCTTCATGCGCGTCCTGCGCCAGCTTCAGATGACCAGGGTCGGCTTCAGCTACTACCTGCCTGGTGCCAAGTTCCTGGTACCACAGCACAAGTTAGTACTGCAGTTGATACCCTCTTTAACCCACACAATATAGAAAAAATGCGTCGATATTTGGATAAAATCTGCCTTCTTGTCTCGAGTGCACAAACAGGTTAACTGTCTATTGTTATTCCTGTATTATAGTACAGTATAGATTGTTTCGCACCAAGTGTTATCGTTTAAAGATATTGGTTTGTCTATCAATCCAAGCATTGAGTTAACCAGCTGGCTTTAAATGCCCATAAATCATTCAGTCAAGCAGTTGAATTATGCGTCACACCATTTTTTTTAACAGGTTACTTCCCTTTACCATCACTTCCCATTTGCATCACCTCAATCGGGTCTCGCTTTTCCATCCTGCATTGGACCTCTATCATGTTAACTAACCCGCATTTTCTCTTATAATCTTCTCCACTGCCCACTCGATTTCTTCCATAAATCACCTGCAATAGTCCTTGTTTTGCAACAAGGACAAATTCAGAGGCCGGCCTCCCACTGGGGCGTGGCCCTATGGCGCAATGGTAGCGCGTCTGACTCCAGATCAGAAGGTTGGGTGTTCGAGTCACTCTGGGGTCATCGAGTTGTTTTGGTCCCGGGTTTGATACGCTGTAAAGGATTCGGGTTCATTGTTTTACGACTTGGTAGTCCTGCTTATTACGAAATCATGGGACTGATGGCTATGTATTTTACGCCTTTTATCCTTCTTTTAAAATTGTTCATTTTTGCCTTCTAGGCGTGTGAATTAAATTAATCCTTCGTTTGAAAGATTTGGTCTTGCGTTTATAACGTTACATTTGAGTCGCCCAAGGCACACGCGTATCCAGGATACTTATGGCGCCGCAATATATAGGGGCTGTTGGGGCGCGTATCCAGGATACTTATGGCGCCGCAATATATAGGGGCTGTTGGGGCGCGTATCCAGGATACTTAACGTTTCGGATATTGCCTGTACCTGAAAATTTATGTCTAGCAGGATAAAAGTAAGGAACTCCCAAGGCAGGTAGACCGTAGGAGGAAGGGTGTACAATAGAAATATGATTTATAATTTGGTTACTAAATGACACAAAATTGCTAATTACTTCAAATTTATAACTGGGTACTAAATGAGACTTCCATGCAAAATGTTGGTTGAACCTGGTCATTTTTCAAATAACGTTCGTTAGATAAGGATTATCAAGAAAATAAGGAATCCGAGAGGATGGCATTTGGATAGTAATTTGCAGGATAACGGAATTTCCAAACTGCAGAGATTATCAGGTAACACGCCTGTTTAATCTGCAAAAAATTTGAAGACTTTTTTAAGTATCCGACAACACTTGCTTAAAAACGGCATGAGGCTAACCTTATTTCGAGGTAGCAGCACATCTTTAGATTTGTTCACAAACGATAATTTCCAAACTCTGGAGAAAGAAATTTATACAACCTTGCTTTCCGATTTCATTCAAGGATTTTGATGCGGAAATCAAGTAGAAATTGTGAAACACAACGGCCCTATGGCGCAATGGTAGCGCGTCTGACTCCAGATCAGAAGGTTGGGTGTTCGAGTCACTCTGGGGTCAAGGACATTTTGAATATTTAACTCAATTAGAGCACATTGACTGTAAGTTTCTTTCCTTATACATGTCCTATAATAAATAATGATTGGGAGCTTGGCAGCTGACCTATTTTCGGTTGTTTTTTCTCATATCTTGCCGCTAATGATTCAGGCTTGTAAATGCTGTGTAATAATAATTTTTCTTGTTATTTCGTACTGTATATGTAATAGAATAATATCTCATTTTGTAGCATTGGTTCTAAGCAATTAACAAATGATTATCTGTAGCTGACCTCCTTGAAAAGTTCTTGATTGTGGGTTTTTTTCTTAATTGCATGACCCTATGGCGCAATGGGAGCGCGTCTGACTCCAGATCAGAAGGTTGGGTGTTCGAGTCACTCTGGGGTCATTAATTTTAATGTACAATGAATTCTGCTAGCCATTGTCGTAGAAACGTATTTTGCGAGAAATTTACGTCCGTATGGTAAGAAGTTATTATGATCAGTCATCAATTCTGATAAAAAAACAGGTCATATATATCGCATGTGCGTCGATTATAGCTATTTAAGTTGTTGTCACCTTAGGTGTAATATAAATTGTTAAAGTCAGTGCCAATGCCGGCCTCTTTTGAGCTTATTTCTTCGTAGGCTGACATGTCGTCGAGGCCGTGATCGTATAGTGGTTAGTACATTGCGTTGTGGCCGCAATAACCCAGGTTCGAATCCTGGTCACGGCAGAGCGACACAAACTTTTGATTTATCTGAAAAATGTTCTTTCACTATGAACGAGTACAATGTTTTGACCAGGCATATTACCATGATATTCAAATGTATTCCTTTTTTTATGTCTTGCAGAAAATTTTGCTTCGATATAAGGCTACAAGCTATAAAGAATAAGTAATGCATCTGAATACAACAATACATAATATAAGCAAAATGTCAAGGTTCTACCGAGACTCGAACTCGGATCGCTGGATTCAAAGTCCAGAGTGCTAACCATTACACCATAGAACCGCTTGACGTACGGCCAACCGCTCAGAGTTTTTAATGGTAGCTGATGAGTGATCACCTATGCTGTGCTGTGAGGTTGTTTGTGCTGTGCTGTGAGGACGTTTGTGCTGTGCTTAATGAACCGCTCAGAGTTTTTAATGGTAGCTGATGAGTGATCACCTATGCTGTGCTGTGAGGTTGTTTGTGCTGTGCTGTGAGGACGTTTGTGCTGTGCTGTGAGGACGTTTGTGCTGTGCTGTGAGGACGTTTGTGCTGTGCTGTGAGGACGTTTGTGCTGTGCTGTGAGGTAGGAGGACGTGTGTGTTGTGAGGTAGTTTGTGCTGTGCTGTGAGGACGTTTGTGCTGTGCTGTGAGGTAGTTTGTGCTGTGCTGTGAGGTAGTTTATGCTGTTCTGTGAGGACGTCTGTGCTGTGAGGACGTTTGTGCTGTGCTTAATGATGTCTGTACTGTGCTTAATGATGTCTGTGCTGTGCTTAATGATGTCATGTGCTGTGCAGGCTGGAGATCTGGCCAGGGTACGTGACGGCCGCGCACAGCATGGAGGGCGGCGTGATGCTGTGCGTGGACACAAGTCATAAGGTCCTGCGCACCACCACTGCGCATGAAGTCATGTACGTCATGCTTGTCTTCTAGTGAAATATACATTATATATAAATGTTGTGTCAATGTCATATCTTACATTCCTTTGAACACTAGTTGTCATGTGGGGTTGAAATTTTTAGCTTCTGTTGTTTGTGGGGCCTTGAATGATACGGATATGTTCTTGTTTTATTTTTGTAAATTTATTATTATGTTTTTTTTTGGGGTCTATATTTTGAGCTGCTATTGCTTGTGTGGCCTTGAGTGATAAGGATATGTTCTTGTTATTCTTCTGCAAGTTTATTATTAATACTCTTTTTACTTTTTTTTATTATTAATACTCTCTAAGTATTATTGAATATATCTATGTCCTCATAACCTACTACCTTGCTGTAGAACGTAAAATTTACTTTAATGTGTAAAGTGATGTTGTGATCTTCATCGGGTTAATAAAATATAATAATATACAAATATTATATATTATCTGAATAATTCATATATATATAATATGATAATATATAAAAAATATGGTGCAGGGCGACGGTGATGCGGTCGAGCTCTGGGACGTTCGAGATGGCAGCGAAGGCAGCGCTGCTGGGCAGCGTTGTTCTCACGCGCTACAACAACAAGACCTACAAAGTGGACGACGTCATCTTTACAGAGACGCCCAAGTCCACCTTCACCAACTCTAAGGGCGTCACGGTGCGTATTGTAAGACTGCGTCGTCTTCACAGAGACGCCCAAGTCCACCTTCACCAACTCTAAGGGCGTCACGGTGCGTATTGTAAGACTGCGTCGTCTTCACAGAGACGCCCAAGTCCACCTTCACCAACTCTAAGGGCGTCACGGTGCGTATTGTAAGACTGCGTCGTCTTCACAGAGACGCCCAAGTCCTCCTTTCTCCAACTCTAAGGGCTTCACGGTGCGTATTGTTGTAAGACTGCGTCGTCTTCTCAGAGACGCCCGAGTCATTCTTCACCAACTCTAAGGGCGTCACGGTGCGTATTGTAAGACTGCATCGTCTTCACAGAGACGCCTAAGTCCTGCTTCACCAACTCTAAGGGCGTATTGTAAGAGTAAGACTGCGTCGTCTTCACAGAGTCTCCGGTAAACGGCAGCTGTCAAAAACTATACGAAGTTATTCATTATACGAGTGTTACATAGTGACCGAGTTGGTAAGTTGCATTTGTTGCAAGAGTTACTTGTGTTATTTTAGTTGCTTCGAACCAGGTGCACTGCTGTTATGAGTTGTTGCTACTCATAATTTTAATCTAATTAATGCGATATTTTGTGCATATTTAAAGCTATGTTGCCTAAGTATAGCTCCTTGCCTTGACTCCGTAGTATAGTGAACCATGTTTGCCTGACTATGCTGTGTTTCATACGTGGTACAATATTTCATATTCAGATGACGTACATTGAGTACTACAAGCAGCAGTACAACATCGACATCAAGGATCATAACCAGCCCCTCTTGATCAACAAGGTCGCGAAGAAAGAAATCAAAGAGATGGTGAGTCCGTTATGATGGATTCTGAATGGCAGCAATTGGCTTCAATACTTGATACTTATGGCATCATTATGCAATTTACTTCGATGTTAATGCTGAAAAAATTTCCTTGAGGAAGAATGATATGGAATCAGGCTAGGGTAAGGCGTGATGATGAATGCTCAACGATAGTAAATGAATTGCATTAAACGGTTAATTATAACAGTACCTTTGATTGTGAATGTAAAAATAATAAAATATACTTGGATCATGTACCTACCAATGTGAACGTTGTTCCGTTGTGAGCTTTACAATGAACGTACTCTCATTCACGTGAAGTGCTGATGAAGTGGAAACCCGAGAGTGAAAATGAGACTATATTACCAAATAAACTAAGTAGATATGATTTGTTATTTTAATTATTGAATTTTAATGTTAATAAATGGTATTACCAAATAAACTAAGTAGATATGATTTGTTATATTAATTATTGAATATTAATGTTGATAAATGCACAACAGCACGACTTGAAGCTGCTGTGCCTGATCCCCGAGCTGTGCTACATGACGGGCCTGACAGAAGAGATGCGCAGGGACTTCAAAGTAATGAAGGACGTGGCGCAGCACACGAGACTGCCGCCTCTTGCGCGCCAAGACGCGCTTCTCAAACTAGTCCACAACATCAACAGTGAGTTGAACAACAGCAACAGTGAGTTGAACAACATCAACAGTTAGGTGAACAATATCAACAGTGAGTTGAGCAATATCAACANGTTCTATTATGAGGGACACTGTTTTGTTTCGATGCTCATGATATTGTTTCCATGCGTGGAACATTCTTTCCATGCCTGGGACGTTGTTTCAATGGGCGTTATATGTGTTGCTATACAAATTTCTCACATTCATTTACTCACCCATATTGACCTTTACGTGGAGATTTATTCTACCTTTAACATTATAAATGGTTGACTCTGCTGATACAATGTCTATTGTTTGCTTAGGTACACATAAAAGGGGCTGCTGATACAATGTCTATTAATTGCTTAGGTGCACATAGAAGGGGGGCGCTGGGTGGTGATATTCACAAAACGAGACTCGCGATGCGCTACGCAGTTCGTGGCTACGATGAACATCGTGTGTCGCCCTCTTGGTATACGCCTGGGCGCTCCTGAGATGGTCGAGCTGCAACAGGACCGCGTCGAGGCCTACGTCACTGCATTGCGGGAGTCCCACTCTAAAAAGGTTTGATTTCAGATGCTCCCCAAATACTTGACTCTTGGCTTTGTCATGAGCGATGATAATCTTGTGAAATTAGGCATTGCTGGCCATATGAATATACACTCTGATAAGGATTTTCGGCGTAAACCGATGTAATAAATGAAGCACTTGTGCCTCGCAGCTGCTGCAGGCTCCAGTCATCGAAGTAATAACCTTTCTGATGATAAATTTCAGTTGAAACAGATGTAAGAATTGAAGCACTTGTACCTCGCAGCTGCTGCTGCTGGCTCCAGTCATCGAAGTAATCACCTTTCTGATGATAAGTTTCAGTTGAAGCAGCTTAAGAATTGAAGCACTTGTACATCGCAGCTACTGCTGGCTCCGGTCGTCAAATTTATCATTTTTCTGGTGATAAATTTCAGTTGTAACAGATGTAAAAATTGAAGCACTTGTACCCCGCAGCTGCTGCTGGCTCCGGTCATCTTTAAATTAATCACATTTCTGATGATAAATTTCAGTTGAAACAGATGTTAGAATTGAAGCACTTGTACCCCTCAGCTGCAGCTTGCTCCGGTCATCAAATTAATCATTTTTCTGATGATAAATTTCAGTTGAAACAGATATAAGAATTAAAGCACTTGTCCCCCGCAGCTGCAGCTGGCTCCGGTCATCTTTAAATTAATCACATTTCTGATGTTAAATTTCAGTTGAAACAGATATAAAAATTGAAGCATTTGTACCCCGCAGCTGCTGCTGGCGGTGATCATCATGCCATCGCAGCGCGAGGACCGCTACAACGCCGTCAAGAGGGTTGCCTGCTCAGAGCTCGGTCTGCCCACGCAGTGCATCGTCGCACGCACAATCTCCAACGACGCCAAGCTTAGATCTGTTACACTTAAGATCGCCTTACAGATCAACTGCAAGCTTGGTGGGGAGCTGTGGGCACTCAAGATACCCATGCAGGGACTCATGGTGGGTCATGGTACTTGGAGTGGATACCAGGGGTGTGTCATGGTACCTAGAGTGGATACCAGGGGTGGGTCATGGTACCTGGAGTTGTTGTTGTGGTTCCCCGGTCTCATTTTTATAAGAGACCCCCCTCGCGCAAGTACGACACCACCGACAGGGGGTCGCTCCAGAGCTGTAGGGTTGAGGTTATGTGGTGGTGTTGTCTGAGGTCATAACTCATAGTCCTTGAAGGGGATACCAGGGCTGGGTTATGGTACTCTTGGCGGGTACTAGGGGTCGGGCACGGTGGTATTTGGTTGTCAATGTATGGATTCGCATGATAAAGGGCAGAAATCATCAATCGGAGATGCATTATTCTTACTCGTGCAACACTTACTCGTGTATGAATATTAATGAGCGTTTATTGACGTTCTGAAGTTACATTGTAGCAGAATAGCTCCGTATGTTTCCAAGCTAATGCAGACAAAACGCTAAAATATTTGAAAAATAAAAGCGAGATAAAAGCTATCATTTAGATATCGATATCAATTGATTATATGTGGCATTGGTGCACTTCTAAATTATACACAAAAAAGTGACTGAGACATTGTCGAAATAGCGGTGCATTTTTCGCTTGTGTGGGTCACCATGCGGCAGTTTGTCCAGGCAAAAAGGAGCATCGTTGCAGAAAGTGTTTTAATGTATGGAAAATGAATCCATTAATTTTTCTGAGTGTAGATTGATATTCATTACATGTTAACGTTTATTTTCAGCGCATTTTCTCATTTATGGAAAAATGGTCTATTGTGCTCGTCATGTCCGTCCGTCCGTCCGTGACTTAACACGTTTTCGTCGACGAGAAAATGCGCGCTCTGTCACTCACTGCAGTGAGTACTGAGTTATATTTTTTATCATTGGTTGATATATTTATTACACATTATAGGTGTGCGGCATCGACGTGTACCACGACCCGACAAGACGAGGCAGCTCAGTGGCAAGCTTCGTCTCCTCCACCAACGTCACCCTCACCAAGTGGTTCAGTCGCGCCTCCTTCCAGAACCCCGGCGACGAGATCGTCAACGGCCTCAGAACTTCGTTCTTAGCCGCGCTCAAGAATTACCACGAGGTGTGTATGTTTAGTGCGTGATGGTGGAATGGTTATAGAATGATGATGTGTCTGATGCATAATAGTGGAATGGTTATAGAAACATGATGTTGTGTTTAATGCATGATGTTGAGATGATTGTAAATACATGATGTTGTGCTTAGTTTAGTGCAAGTAGTTGTGATGGTTATAGAAACAACATGTGTTTAGTGCATGATGTTGAAATGGTTATAGAAACATGATGTGTTTAGTGTATGATATTGGAATGATTATAGAAAGATGATGTTGTGTTTAATACATGAATTTGAAATGATTATAGAAACATGATGCTGTGTTTCGTGCGTGTTGTTGAAATGGTTATAGAAAGATGATGTTGTGTTTAATGCATGATGTTGAGATGGTTATAGAATGATGTTGTGTTTAGTGTATGATGTTGGAATGGTTATAGAAACATGATGGTGTGTCTAATGCATGATGCTGAGATGGTTATAAAAAGATTATGTTGTGTTTAGTACATGAATTTGAAATGATTATAGAAACATGATGCTGTGTTTCGTGCGTGTTGTTGAAATGGTTGTAGAAACATGATGTTGTGTTTAGTGTATGATGTTGAAATGATTATAAAAACATGATGTTGGAATGATTATAGAAAGATGATGTTGTTTCCAATGCATGTTGTTGAAATGATTATAGAAACATGATGTTGTGTTTAGTATATGATGTTGAAATTATTATGGAAAGATGAGAGATTGTGTTTCGTGCTAGTAGTTGTGATGGTTATAGATACAACATGCATTTAGTGCATGTTGTTGTGATGTAGAAAGAAGATGTTGTGTCTACTAACTGGATCTATAGCCAAGTATGATGTTGCTTTCCTCCATGAAGTAAAGTTTTAAATGGTGATTTTCGCGATTTAAGTTTCTATTTAATTTAAACAAAGAGCATTAAAGATTTATTTAAAAAAAATCATTCATCAAATGATCCAGGTCACTTCTGCCATCTCTTTAATTTTTTCTACGAGTATGATTGTTTAAACTTCGCATGCGATGAATGTTTCTGCTTGCCAAATAATTTAATAATGTTGTATTTATTTGTAACCCTCTATCAAGCTTTATACCTCTCCTGGTGAACGCTCAGTTACTTTGAAACATCCACAACACAATAATATTTCTTCGTGACTCACAACTCTAATCTGTGCAGGTGAACGCTCAGTTGCTTAGAAACATCCACAGCACAATAATATTTCTTCGTGAGGGCAGCTCTCCCTGGTCCAGGAAGTCGAGCTCCCGCAACTGGCGTCGGTCTTCAGGAACTTCGACGGGTGTGTGGCTGCTTTTTCATCCATGTTCGGGAATAGTGACACACTTTCCAATAGTGATTCATTTTCCAATAGTGACACACATTCCAAATGTGGCACACATTCCAAATGTGGCACACATTCCATGAGTGACACACTTTTAGGTTTTCAAATAGTGACACATTTTCCAATCGTAATACATTTTCCAATAGTGACACACATTCCAAGTGTGACACACATTCCAATTGTGACACTTTTAGAATTTTCAAATAGTGACACATTTTCTGTACGTTGCACTGACAAGCCTTTTTTGCTGGACAAAAGGAGTATTAGGATGACCCACACAAGGGCAAGAAGTGCATCACCATTTGGACAATATTTATTTATTTGCCTAAGTGCAAAGATGATCTTCGGATCCGTATAATATTTTCAGTCGTCCATTCTTTCAGTTAATTTAGTTCGCTAACTAATTTTAGGGCGATTCAATGACAAGTACAGTAATATGGCACAAGTAGCCCTTCTATTTCCTGCTGCACTTCAAAGTCACGCATAATAGACCACACTATTGCCGAACGCAACTGGTTAGTACAGTAATGTGGCACAAGTAAACCATTTATTTCCTGCTGTCCCGCATAAAAGACCACACTGTTGCCAAACGCAACTGGTTAGTACAGCAATGTGGCACAAGTAGACTTATTTCCTGCTGCACTTTGAAGCCAGGTATAATAGACCACACTATTACCAAACGCAACTGGTTAGTACAGTAATGTGGTAGCGCCTTTTATTTATTGACGCACAGAAATCTGGTGATATCAGGCATTTTCCTCCATGCTTCAAAGCCTCCTCATAATAGACCACACCATAAGAACGATGACACGTCCTAAGAATTACGTATCAGGCCACGTTTATCCATAGCGATTGCTCTTTATTAAGATAGTCAGACCATTAATATACTTGCCGTTTGCAGGTACGACTTTCTGCTGGTATCGCAGCACGTGCGACAAGGGACCGTATCCCCCACGCACTACGTGGTCGTGCATGACGGGGTGGGGCTCAAAGTGGACAACCTGCAGCGTCTTACCTACAAGCTCACGTATCTCTACTACAACTGGCCGGGCACCATCCGCGTGCCTGCTCCGTGCCAGGTTTGTTGTAGGGTACAGTAGCAGCACCAGCTCACGTATCTCTAATACTACAACTCACCTATCACCGAACATTTTATCAGCATTGTGTAGCTTCACTTTATAACATGTTGAATGATCACTTTAGGCAGGGGTATTACAAGAAAATAAACGTGTGCTTTTGCTCTACATTATACGCTTGGAGACTATAACGATTTCTTCCAAGTCTTCTAAGTCACCAAAGTAACTCTTTGTCTACCAAGGAAATGACTAGTGTAATAAATCTGTTTAATTTCATCGGATTATTTGTTCTGTGACACAATTTTTGCCATAAACTAAAATTAGTTTTTCAACTCAAAAATTGTGTTCGCTAATTAGTGGCTAAAAAGTAACTCAAGTTCAGTTGATATCTTTTGCTAGAATTATCTGTTCATATTGATATTTGATTGCTAAGGATAGATTGGAAGAAGTTTTCTTGCGGCAAATTTTTTCTCAATAGTCACTCATGATATGAACGTAAGAAAACGATGGAATTAAAGAAAACGTTTCTCAGTCGAACTGATCGTTGCAAACGCCCTTGAGAAAACTTTCGTTCTCATGACCACTAAACAAACAGCGCGCGGTTACCGCAAGAATCATAATTATACATTAATAATACTTATTACTTTTTGGTTCTTAGTCATTTATTTATACAGAAGCTATACGGCGTAACCCCTGATATAAGCGTGAGGATGTTCGACTCGTGTTGGTCGTGTTACTCGTGCACAAATTATTTATTTATTTTTGACAGCAGCAGGAACCAGAACCACAATAAATAAGCAAAAAGGGAAAAAAAATCAGAGATACTGATGTAAAAGATTTTCCTATGAGCTACAATTTTCTGGAGGAGAATTTTTTTGAAAATCTACAATTTTCTCTCACGCATTCAATGCCTCTTAGAAATGATGTTGGATATCAAGACACCTCTTTAGTATGTAGTCGTTTGACGCACTAGTGTAGGTTGTTATAGTTCCGAGCAAGATAACCGTATCACCGGAATAACCTGTGCATTAACTAAGTTTTGACTTCTTTTGTTACATGTAAATTACATTAAAGTTACGCATTCATCTGCACGGTTGTCTCCACAAAAACCTTGCCAGATCGGCGTTCCGATTGTGGGGCGTCCAGTTGTCACGACTACTATAAATAAAAACTTGCTAGATAGTGTTTAATTACATGATAATTAAACACTACATGATAATTAAACACTACATGATCTAATACATGATTTAATTAAACATGATAGTGTTTAATTAAACTATAAAACGAATTTTAATTTAAATTCTATAAATTTCACGATTAAATTTAACCGTCCCCTCTATTCTTTGGAGGGTCGAGTTTGGTATCCGCGACCGGCATACAGCAAGGCGATCCTTTTGGCCCTGCTTTATTCTCTTTAGGAATTGACGAGGTGGTACGCCTGTCTCTTATACACATCTAGATGTGTATAAGAGACAGCTTATGTAGAATACGCTAANTATCGCGTCTGTTGCGATAGTTAAAAATAAAATTTATTCTCGCATCTATCTTTAGATGCGAAACCTTTTGATTCTCGTACGAATCTTTAGATACGGAACCTTCTTTTGATTCTCGTATGAATCTTTAGATACGAAACCTTCTTTTGATTCTCGCATGAATCTTTAGATACGGAACTTTTTTTTTTGACTCTCGTATGAATCTTTAAATGAGCAACCTTCTTTTGATTCTCGTATGAATCTTTAGATGCGGAACTTTTTTTTTTTTGACTCTCGTATGAATCTTTAGATGCGGAACCTTTTTTTTGACTCGTATGAATCTTTATTGACGGAACCTTCTTTTGACCCTCATAAGAATCTTTAGATACGGAACCTTCATACCTGGAGGCGTCACATAACGTTTCTTGCGTCGTTCTGCATCTTAGCTTCGTTTTTGTGTGTATTGAACGAACGTCTGTTGTTTCTGTTTCTGTTTGGAAAGTAACTGCGGATGGATCTGTTAGGTGCGAGTCACGATTTTGGCCGTTTTTGCTGTTTTTTTGGCCGTTTTTGCTGTTACTGGCCACGCGATGGAATGTTGACGCGTGCCTTTCTGGGACGCCAAAGCTGCTCAAGTGTGGCATTCAAGCGACTTTTTCTACATTTTCTCTTTTTAAATTGTGTTTTGTTTGGAAATTTATTGACGAGTTATTGGTGGAAACTCAATAGCCGACGGCGGACGATCTTGGATACGCTTTGGGAACAAGTTTACGCCATTTTTCTTTGAAATTTCTTCTGTCTTCCGCCCAAAGCGGGTACGTAATTTCATTGTAACCTGTAGTTTTTTCAGAATTATATTGTCATAATCTATATAATATTGTCTTTTCCTGCATAATATACTTCCTTTGCTAAGTGACTATCCCTTTGTGTGGACACTCAACCTGAACGTTACTTTTACATCAAGACTGGAAAATTACTATTATTACTTCTATTACTACTCTATTACATTACATTATTACTTCTATTCCATATTGAAACTCTATTCAATATCCCTGATCTTGTGCACCGTTCGTACATTATTACTTCTATTCCATATTGATACTCCGGCATATCCCTGATCGGTGCACCGTTCGTAATTTAGTGCAAGTCCCTCCACACGACTCCTCTCTAGGGCACAGCTCTCCTAGCACCTGCGGCAGCAGCGCTGCTAGTCAAGTCGTGCTTCGCGTCTTCGCTCATCCATGCAATCTGTACCAATCGTGGCTATAGGAAAAGTATCATCAGCTCTTTTACTGAAGAATCGTCTAATTTCGTGTAAACTGTTAGCCGGTATATATCTGTACTGCCAATCCTGCCCTAAAGCAACGACCTAATCAACCAAGTCTAATTCCGTGTTAACTGTTAGTCTGTATCTATCTATACTGCCCTAAAGCGAACCAATACCAATCGCAATTTTTGGTGTGGAACAGGAAAAGTATCTTCAGCTCTTTTACTGAAGACTCGTCTAATTCCGTGTAAACTGTTGGTCCGTATCTATCTATACTGCCAATTCTGCCCTACTGCAACCTAAAGCTGCTACCTAATCAACTAACACTATCGCCTTCCAATCGTTTAGTTAGGTGGAATCCGGAAATAATTTCCGCTACAGAATAAAGCGTAATATATGTTTTCTTCAGCTCGTTTACTGAAGCATCGTCTAATTCCGTGTAAACTGTTAGTCTGTATCTATCTATATTGCCAATCCTGCCCTACAGCAACTACCGTACCTAATCAACCAACACATCTACCAATCGTTCATTTGGTGTGGAATCAGGAAATAATTTCCGCAGCAGAAAAAGGCTTAGAAGATGTTTTCGATGTTTCAAATGTGATCTCGATTTAATTTTTCCATATTGGCGTGTTGGCTTGAACGTTTCAGTCTTCCATTTAGCGCCGAAAACATTCGCACATTCAATTACGCACGCACATAATAATGCGATCCTGAACGCACCAGCTTTTCCATTTGATGTCAAAGTGAGACGATCGTTCCCGTCTTGAATTTTTTTAATGGGAACTCGGTCTTGAATCTCAGGACGATTCATACCACTTCTATCTATTGTTCATATTTATTTCGATTCACTGAAGCCTATAGAACTTGACGCTCTCTAATTACGAATTACCATGTCCGTTACTTAGCTATTCCTTGATAAATTATAGAAAAATCGGTGTTTGGCATGAGTGTCTAATAGGTTTCGACGCAAACCACACTTAACTTCCAGTTCTTCTGAATAAATAAAATTTGTTCATAATTGTTTATAAAATTACTCTTTTATGCTTACACTGAACTATGTAGCCTATCTATGTGTCATGGGTCAATAGCTGCGTCCATGCAACACTGCATGTGGGTGTATGACGAATAATCTCTTTATTAATAATGATTACTTGATAATTAGTTTTACGAACCTTTATTTTGCAGTATCAACTATTATATATATTTTTGCGGATCATAAGTTGTTTTGGTCACAAGACAAGCTTATTTAGTATAATCACCCATAATATTATCGAGGTCGTACAATTTATTACCGTCGTCTCGTGCTTGATACTACCTAAAGTTCACCAGTAAATATTTTTTCTAGTTAAGAATAAGATTTTCTTGTATCACGCGTGCCCAGGAGCAGTTAATGTAGCCTGAAGCTAAGCTCGTTTCGGGAAGCCTACTATCACGCTTCCCGTGCTTCTGGCTGCGATCCTGATATTTTTCCTCGCGTTTGTCTCATGTTTATTCTTTATGTTTCAGTACGCCCACAAATTGTCATACCTCGTTGGCCAGAACATAAGGAAGCCCACGCACGACGCGCTCCAGGACAAACTCTTCTATCTCTGAACTGCTCTGCGACTCTGGTGCTCTGCAACTCTGCACTGCTCTGCAACTCTGAACTGTTTTGCAGCTCTGGTGCTTTGCGACTCTGAACTGCTCTGCAACTGTGGTGCTCTGCTACTCTGGTGCTCTGCTACTCTGGTGCTCTGCTACTCTGGTGCTCTGCTACTCTGGTGCTCTGCTACTCTGAAGTGCTCTGCTACTCTGAAGTGCTCTGCAACTCTGGTGCTCTGCAACTCTGGTGCTCTGCAACTCTGGTGCTCTGCAACTCTGGTGCTCTGCGACTCTGGTGCTCTGCGACTCTGAACTGCTGTGCAACTGGTGCTCTGCGGCTTTTGCTTCTCTCCGACAGCTTCTTCTTTCGCGTTTAATTCACATGTTATTTTCTCTATAATTAACGGTAGTTTGGACGTTGCCTTCTTCTATCCTGTTTTTGCTGCTTTGTGGTTCTGATTGTTGTTCAGTTCAGTTCCTACGTTCTTCAGTTCTTCTCCCTACTTGGCTCTTTTTTGGCAATTTTCTGTTTTTATCTTCCGCCACCTATTTCTCTTCAGTTCAGTTTTATTTAATAATTTTATTTAGTTATTCTCATTTATTCTACTTATATTGGAGAAGATTTTCTTCTCCTCACTCTTGTTTTTCCCTCTTACAAGTCTCGTCTCTTGAGATCATCTGAATGGCTAAGTGGATATGGAGGCTTTGCAATTAGTAACTGTAGCGCGACAGTGAAGCAATGACAACGTTTGTGGTGTTCAACAACGTTTCGACGTTTGTGGTGTGCAACAACGTTTCGACGTTTGCGGTGTGCAAAAACGTTTCGACGTTTGTGGTGTGCAACAACGTTTCGACGTTTGCAGTGTGCAAAAACGTTTCGACGTTTGCGGTGTGCAAAAACGTTTCGACGTTTGCGGTGTGCAACAACGGTTCGACTTTTGTGTTAGTTTGCAGGTAGTTTCTAGTATTTTTAAGCTGTAACGTTTTTTTTCTTCTGTGTACCAACGAAGATTGTGATTGCTGAGCTCAACGGATAGTTCAATGAAGATCCTTGGAAGTATACAACTCTGTTATTACATACCATGGCTTATTGCTTGACTTACGTGACCAGGTAGCTTTTAGCTGATGCAGCAATCTTTGTGCCCACTCTTCGTACCTATATATATATTGTCCATAGTTAACAGGATTAGTTTCATTTGAATATAGTTTGAATTGCGAAAAACGAAAAAGTGATGCGGTTAAGACCAATTTAAGGGCAGAGTTCCATCTGAATAAAGAATCCTCATCGTTGCGATTCAAAATTAACGTGTATTGATAAAGAGCGAGTGCCTTTACGCATTCTGAAAGCAAATTTTTTCCCCAATCGCGCAGGTTTGCGCTTCTTCACTCGTCAAAATTGCTTTTGTTTTGATTTCCAGCGGCACTGATCCCAAGCGTCACATTACGTTTGTAAATGTAAGTTGTTTTCTAAGCTCTGCCTACTTACTTCGTCTTTGTATTATTTTTCCTTATAAGTTTCCTCTCATTGTTTTTCGTACTTGCTTGAGCTCTGTAGGCTTTTCCCTCTACTATCATTAAGATGCTGGTGCAGCTTCGTTCTTGTTAGCTCTTGTGGGTTGGTCAGTTGAGATCTGTCGGCTCTTGTAGCCTATGAACGGTTTGTTATTTTTATGAAAGATACGTCAGTCTCGAACGATTTCGTTCGACACGTGTTTTGATTTATCAGTATTTATCGGTAATTTCAGATTACCGGTGCAAGGTGTCCGAGTCAGCAGCCGTCTGAATCTTGGTATCCAACTTCCTGTACTACTTAATGTTTCTGCTAATAACTTTCCTCGTATTTTTAGTTATCTAAGTACAAACGAATTTTGTACCGAGTGGAATTGTAAATGAATTTCCGGTTTATGTTTCATGGTAATTTATGCATTTAGTCTGTGTTATTAATTGTGTCAATATCACAGAATGGACCGTTATTTTAGTTAGCAACTTTACTACATTTTATGTTACCGTTCTCTTCATTACCTAATGGAAATTAATTTGATGTGAAATAAACGAGTGTCAGATTCTGGGACATTTCAGAGTCGTATGTGACATCTCGTGAACAAAATTAACGACTAAATATCTGACGTTCGTTTTCACAATAACTTCGTTCTGATTCCCTTACGTTGCAATAATTCTTACAAAATATTGTGATCATTCATCGTTTCGTTTACAGTTCATACAAAAAATGATCATTTATAGTTTCGTTTTGTACCTCTACTGTATGGTAGATTGTAAATATTCCCATCGCATTTTTTCATTTAATTTATTTATATCAAAAGGATTCAACTGGCTCATGTATTTAAATTAAAAGGATGTAACGCGCTTCAGTTAACCCATTAGAGTGCATTGTTCATGTTATGCTGGGTCTAAATACAATGGGCTTTATGCTGGGTCTAAATACAATGGGCTTTATGCTGGGTCTAAATACAATGGGCTTTATGCTGGGTCTAAATACAATGGGCTGCCAGACGTGCTTGTTTCTTTTTCCTGAAAATGTTTGTTCCTCAATTGAAAAAATCATTCAGTTCAATTTGCGACTTAATTGTGCACTTGATAGTACAGTAGGAAAACTATACGTAATTTGACATTTTAATCATTCATTATAGGTATTTACTTGATTGCAATGTTCAGAAAATAGATTGTTAATCGCTTAGTTAAAGAAAATTAAGGCCAATAAATTCCTATAAAGAAGCTTCGCCATAACATTCGATTCAAATTTGAATTGTAAAATGAAAATGACGGAAATAGACGGTTTGTTAGTATAACTTAATCGTTTTTGTTACGAAATCAGAGAAGTGTAGGAATTTGAAAGGAGCAAATGTTATCTCATAATCGTTGGGCTGAAATTTACTTAGTAGCATTGAACAAAAGAACTTGACGAAAAACTAGAAATAAATGGCTGGTCAGACACTTGCATGTGAATCAATCGTCCTCTTGGAATGAAAAATTCAACGATTTTGTTGATTACACCACAACAAACCCTTGTTACTCGTGTATCGTCAATGCATCTAACTACGCCATGCACAGTACTCATATCGCCGGCCTTCAGAAGAAACTATTTCGTTTAGGAACTGAGTCACAACTTTCTAGCGCAATTGAAAAATCTTGATAGTTATTAAGAATGAACCAAACCCTACAAATCGTAGTTCTGATCAGTATTATGCGCATTTTTTGACGAGGTAAGTGCAGTAGCTGCTGAGTGGCGACTTACTATATGGCATTGACGGTAGCTGAAAAATGTTGATTTGACTGCGATCACGAGCCTAAATAATGTATGCGTAGCCGCAGCTGTGACGCATCTCGTGAAGCATTTGTTGACCTGAGTAGTTTTCAGTGGCCATACTTTCATAACTCGCTAAGTGAACGTAAGTACTTATGCTCTATTTTCTTGTCTGTAATTGGTGTATTTTGCTTGAAAGGCTGTCAATGATTGGCTGATGAACTTACGATCTCTTAACTTTTTTTTTTTTAAAGTATAGGCCCTTGATCGCTCTGTCACCTTTGATTTCGACGCTGTCTAGTGTGGTACTGATCAGTGTGGTACTGAGCCGTGTGGAGAGTTACACCTTTAAATTTCAACGGTTCAAACGGTTTTTAAACGGTTATCCTGTACATATTGATATGCATTGTTATCTCTTCACAACCGTTTATCAAGGGGCCAAAGAAGATACTTTTATCTGCTTTTAAAATTAACGGTAATATTGGTTTTGTTATTAGATTAGAACTGAATACAATCTACATGCAAATCTTAAGACACTGAAAAGAAGTAACAGGTTTTATATCGTTAATAAAACCGAACCCGTGTATTCAAAATTAACGGTAATATTGGTTTTCGTTATTATGGCCTCCTCTCCTCATCTTGCACTCACTGAAATAAGTGGAACTTTGTGCGAAAACAACATAGTGATGCACTTTTAGCCATGCGTGGCCTCCTCTACTCGTCATGCACTCACTGAAATGAGCGGGAATATGTTCAAAAAAAAAACATAGTGATGCACTTTTAGCCATGTGTGGGTGTATGGATGAGATACCGGCGGCCACCGATAATGCGCCTATTACCAGATAATTGACATGACAACTGCGTATCCCGAGTGCCGAAGGAGTTTTTCGCCATAATTCGGTATTGATGAAGTATTTCTAGCCTAAATTCCTGGCCCTGCAGTGCTGAATTATTAGAAACAATGGGCGTACCATCGCCGACCAATTGTAATAAATATTGATATGATTGCATAATTTTCTAATAAGGTATAAGTAATTAGGTATTTACTAAATGTATTTATGTAATAGTAATAAGCAATCAGGGACGGCCGACGATCGAGTCGATGCGCCTTCAAGCTAGCAGATCTTATTAAGATATTGAAACATACTATCAAGAGATCAGATCTACTTAATAAGTTGTAATATCTTGTTAAGAGATCAGATCTAGTTAATATGTAGTGATATCTTATCAAGAGATCAGATCTAGTTAATATGCAGTGATATCTTATCAACAGATCAGATCTTACTCAACAACCGCGGTTAGAGTCGCAATATGAGCATTTCACTTCCCAAATGATATGCAGTTGTCGTGGTACTTACTTCAATAAGATAACATACATTATTATTAAACTTCATACATTCAAATGCATTAAGGAGCAAATTCATCCATCTAATACTAATTTCATTGTTGGAATATAATGTATAAATGAGAGTCGATGAATGTAATTAGTAATCCATGTAACAAAAATTTCTAAACTCGAAACGACAGCGGTACTGGGTTCACGTTACCACGTTAACCTCTAACGGCCAGATATGTCCTACAGTTTAGGTAGGAATAGCATTAGTACCAAGCGAACTAAACCTGATTCCTGGGCAGTAGGAAATTGATGAGACGTCAATCATGCGCGAGAGAATATGCCGTCTACTGAGCTCTCGTACGCGTAGGAATACCCCGCGTAGGAATTCCACGCGTAGGAATACCCCGCGTAAGAATACCACGCGTAGGAATACCCCGCGTAAGAATACCTCGCGTAGGAATACCACGTAAAAGAGGAACACGCGCATGAATACTCGCGTAAGAATACCGCACTCAGGAATACCTCG